CATACTTTGATATAATAAGCTAAAAAAAAAAATTACCGTGGTAAAAATTTAGCAATCTGTTGGAAATTATTTGAATTATTATTATTTCTGTTTTTTTTTTTCTCCCTCCGATTTGAAGGAAGGCCTTTTTCTTCCCTCCATCTGATCGATAACTGCTCATCTAATAAGATATTTACTCAGGGAGAGTTATGCTTAACGGATTTGTTATCACAACTAGTTTTCGATGCTATTAGGTGTATAAAAAATATCCTCAAATAAACTTCGACCTTTGATTTTATTACGAAAAGTAAGGAGTAAGCCTATAAGTGCCCGGCTAATATTTCCTACTGATCAGAAAAAAAAAACAAAAAAAAAAGTATGATTAAATTTTTTATTCAAAGAAAAACTTCCAACAAGGTTTTCCTGACCGCTGGTTTAATTGACTACGTTACCTTGTTTTTATATAGTTTGTTTTACCACATCATTATCATATTAAGCTTTTTTTCATAGCCAGTTTATTTATTTTTTTTTATCGGGAAGGTAAAAAGTTAAACGATTACAAATTTACTTTAATTAATTTTTCATAAAAACAATTAGATATTGGGAAGAAAATCTTAAAAAAAGTATTCTTGTTGTTTGCAGACTATATTATAGTGAGATTTTTATCCAACCGTTTTATTTTAAATTAATTGAGTTAAGCACATCGTTTTTTTATTATTATTATTTATTTTATTTTTTTTGAAGATGATTAAATTAGGTGACTGGAACACATCAATAGGAAAATTCTGTCTGTAACTTTTTACAAAAGTACGTCCTTTATATTATTTTGTATATTTTATTATTTATATATAAAGTTTAAGCAATAAATGATGCAGATTGATATGCGTCGGGAAAAAGGCCCCGATAAGAGGCCAACAAACCCCCTCCTGCCAAAATGACCAGTTTTCCCCTACTGGACATCCAAGGCCTTTTCAAATTGACGCCACCAAGCTTTTTCTCCTTACATCTTCTCCCTTCATCCCTACATGACTTCACTTGGATAATCAGAGGAATTAAACTTAAAAAAAAAAAAAAGACAGTGTCCTTTCTTGAAATGGTTTGCGTTTCCCTGTCGGTATGTATTTGGCTGGGTCTTTAGGCCAGCAGAGTATCAGAGGAGGTGTAATTGAAGGGGCGGTGAGGGGATAGAGTAGCGGTTGGCCTTAAAGCCACTATTAAAGCCAAATGGAGTGAACACCATAAAAAGGGCCCCTGCCAACAGCTGTCCCACAGTCCAGCTTTATATGCCAGGGTAGTAAGGCCTAATACACCCAAGTCAGTATGAATATTATGACACTTCTTTACAGTATACTTCTTGATTATGAAAAAAGGTGCTTAGTAAAACTAATTTTCCTTAAAATCACTGAGAACAGTAAATTATTCTTATATAGTTTATAACTGTGCTTACCTCCACAAAAAAAGAAAGAAAGAAAGAAATGAAATGCAGACAGCAGGTGATCCTATCTGCACACCAAGCCCAGTGTTAGATTTCACAAGTTCTCCTTTATCTGGGATAATGTTTTACATAATTTAACAAGCCCAATGGCATTAAGAAAACAGGCAAACACCTTCCACATCTTTAGGAATTGCACGATTCATCTAAAGGGTCAGGACCCCACCAGGTGCACTTTCCTTCCAATGCAAAATTAAGACCTTTCCTCTCCAAAATGCTGATTGTCCCCCCACCCCCTGCCCAAAAGGGCTGTTTTAGACTCAGTCCTCGTTAGAATAGCGATGCAGAGAGGGCGACTGAAGAGGAGTTGTTTCCACTGGATTAAATGGTTTCTCTCCAAGTCAATGAATATGTAATGATGTCTAACGAAACCTGTGACCAAGCTCAGATCTGTCCTGTGCTTATACACATGCAGAGGCTCTTATATAAAAGAGTCCTTGGAGCAGAGAAAAGAGGACAGAAGAGAGATGCAAATCTGGAATGCAACTTTAAATTTGAGCCCGACATTCTCTGCAGTCAATAGTGATCCAGAGAAAAGACTGTAGGAGAGTGCCTTCTTCTTGTTGTTGGGGAGTTTTTCGTTAAACTCTTTGAAAATATTGTTTCTGATAAGCAGTCATGCCAATAATGTAATTGAACTGAGCAGATTAAAGATGAGGCAGGGGACGGGGAGGAAAGAGAAAAGAAAGTGGGTTCTTCCATACTGTGATTGTTAAAGATTTTTTTTTTCCTTTAGTATACCCGATAAAACATTGATTGTTGCAGATAGTTGACCCGTAAAATTCGGAGGTTAGTTTTCTGCTCTGAGCTGAGCATATAATTATGCAAATAGCGATCTGACAGTGATCCGCAGAAGGAGTGTGTGTGTGTTTGAGAAGCGGGGGTGTCAGAGGGGTGGCATTCCAACTTTGCTTAAAGCCTGGTTCCTTTTGGAGAGAGTTCATCCTTTGCAGGGGCAGTGCGGACATCAGAGTGGCCAGGGGCAAGCAAGCGTGACAACATCTCTCTTGAAGCAAAAATTGAAATATCAACCTTTGAAAGCAGGACTATTTCTTTCTTTGACATGGTGCTCTCCACCCGTGTCCAACCAAGTGGACAAACACACCAAACTTTCTTTAAAACAACAAGTCATCTGGATTGTAGGTCTGTTTGTTTTTAAAAGAACAGGGAAAAAAGAGCAGGTCTACATAGAAATTAACAACAAAAGTGAGAATAGTAATTACCAATTAATACAAAATATGGCTTCTTGGGTTTTTATGGCCATCTTATCATGTTTGTCAAAAGTTCAGTTGGTGTTAGTCGTTTCATTGGTTCTTAGGTTCTAAATATGAATCCATAACATGGTCTGTTCTCTTTAAATTTTGTGACCCCGGTACATTAACACTTTAAATTCTCTAATTTTGCAGCTAGTAGAATAAATAACACTTTACAGAAATGATCACCGGTTGAAATGTATGTTTATAATGCAAGGATCATTTAAATGGTATCTCTTTGTAAAAACTTAGATGTTCTAAGAAGATATATATTTTCTTTTTGGTTTACTATAACCACTTTGATATCAACCAATCGTAATAAGGCAAGCTATTTTTAATTAATTCCAGAGTTTTCTTTTAATAAATTACTCTTGAATACAGTACTTCTTGCTTTGGGGGAACCCCTTTTATTCTTGTCTGTTTATTTTCACACCCATTTTAAAAAGCCATCCACATATTGTTTTTGGAACACCTCGATTAAAAAGTAAGACCACTTGAGTTCACTTGTGATTTGAGTCTAAAGAGTTGAAACCTGCAATAAGGACATGTGCTTTAGTAAAGTGAGGAAGACGTGGCCTGAAAGTGGTAGAAGAAATCTGAGCAGTCGGATGTAACATGACCTGTGTCACTATATGCAAAAGCAACAAACTGCCCAATGGAGAAGAGGTATTCATTTGGATTTCTCTTAGAAAGTCTCTAAACTGTTTTTCTTTTTTTTTGGTAAGTAAAATTTTAAAGTCTGGGGTTTTAAAACTCCTTATAAGCTTTGGTAGATCAAAACCTCTATCTCTGTGGCGGGAACCGTGTCAAAATGAAATCAAATCACAAACTGATTTAACGTTCTTGTTTTTGCTCGTTATTTGATCATACTAAATAAAAAATAAAAACTCCAATTTAGCAAAGGTTTTACGGCATCATTTGTTTTCACATGGCGAAACTGATCGGGTCATTAAACGCCCCCTCAATAAATCTTTTTCCATTTACCCTCCTGAACGACAAGTGGAACCAGGCGAGCATCGCCTGCACAGTGTTCAGGTCGACGGATTAAAGAGGGGCATCCAATCAAGAAACTGATCTTTCCCTCTGTCCTAAAATAAAATAAAATAAAAAATCTAAAAACCGGTTCTGAACTTGTGTAAGATACATCTAACTACTAATGCATCCTTTAAAGCAGCTTTGTAAGGGGTGGAGGGCTGTGTTTAAGGTTTAATTAACCAACCTGATTTCTGTCTAAAGCAATGATGTGGTGGCATCATAAATCCTGACCTCCAGTCAGCTCCCATCAATGCCAGGAGATAAACAGCTCAGACAGTGAGAAATGTTATGTTTTCTAGCAGGAATTAATGAGTAGTTACCTTAATACCAGTTTGCAATCTGTCAGGTGTGGCTATTTTACAGTTTATATCAGAGGTTGTGAAAAACAAGTGTAAGGTACCACCCACCCTCTTTACAGTTTAGTTTTTTTTTTTTTTAAGAGTGAGGATGTTTCATTTGATTTGACAATGACATCTGCTGCACTGTAAAAATGAATTTTTGAGGATATTAGATAATAGCTGTTAAAATGTTTTTTTAAACTGTTGTATGCAAAATTGATGTTAAATGATGTTTGAATAGAACAGCGTTTGCTATGTTTTTAAAAGCAAATTCATCCAAAACATTTTGATTAGAATTCGTCTAAAAATCTTTATCTGATAATCCGAAATAATCTGTGTGGTGTACAACCAACAGGGAAAAGGAAGACAGATGTTTTAATATTGGTTATAAAATCAATACATTTAATGCAAATACTTTAATTATGTGCACTTTAATTAGGTTAAAAATGGTCAAACATTTTGGATGAGAAAAACTCTAGAATTAAAGTTTGTGTCCAGCTTTAACTAGAATAACAAAAAATCAGTAGCAAGCTGAGCTTCTTAACTCCAAGGCAGATGTTAAACACCTCAGTTTAGCTCTGGTTACCAGAGATAAATGACTGCATTCCATCTTGTTAGAGTAGATTCAAAAAGTTTCACCAATTCACAATCATTTTGCTTTAAAACCAATTTAGGTTAGGCACTATTGCTAAACTTAATTTCCTCTGAACAACCAGTAAAGACTGGGCTAGCAGTATGTTAAGACCACAGCGATGAGCTCTGAAAGTAAAGTTTGTAATTAAACACAAAGTATTGTGGTAAGCTGAAGGAAGCCAACAAACCTTACAATATCCACATTTGTTAATATATATTAAACAAAAAGTAAAGCAATAAGAAAAATAACCAGACACTACCTTGAAAATAAAGATGCATAGTTCCTTTTATTTCCTTTTGCTTTAATTGGTCAATTACAGAATAATAAAATCATCTAAAGAAATGTGATTACTGCACTAGAGAGATGTTAAAACAATTTTTACAATTTTACATAAACATGAATCAACTCAGACCGAGGGGTGGAAAAAAATTAAGAATATAAAGAAAAATCCATGCATTTGCCATAGGCTTGGAGATTTTAAGATAAAATAATTAGAACAAATAACGTTCTGCAGAAAATAAAATAAATTCTTCAAAAGCAATTTATTTGCAGACTGTGCTTTGGATCTTTAGTTCTTTTCATATATATGGCTTGTAGGATATTAAAAAAACAGCGAGGAGAGTCTTGTTTACTCCTAAGGCAACAATATACAAATTCTGGAGTGAGAAATTAACTGATCATAGCTGAAAAGCACAAAGGCGAGGTGTGGTATCTTGAAATGAGACCCGTCAAATATCAAATAATAAGCCCAACTTCTTAGCTGAAACCTGGAGAGATCTAAATCAAATTAAAAGGAAATTAGGCTCGCATCCACCAGGCACACTTGTCTCATTACAGCAGAAAGATAATCCACAAACGCCTTAAACCACAGACGGAGCAGGAGAGGCAGCGTTTGACAGTGGGGAAAGTTTCACAATACGGCAAAAGAAAAAAGAAAAAAATGAGGGAAGTATATGTTTGAGAATGCAACTAAGGTATCCTAAGATTCAGTTTCAAGTTTGAGTTTTTACTAATGTCAAGACACATTAGAAATGTATTCCATTAAGCCTTTAGTGGTTTATAAAACACAGAGGCTTTATGAAAAAAATCTTTAACATGTTTGTGTCATACAGTCAGATTATGGGAGCTGAGCAGGAAGCTGAGTTTGACAGGTCCAAGTACACACAAAGAGTACTTGAGTGGAAAGGGAAGGAAAAAAAGAGAAGATATGTTACAATTCTTCAACTTCTAAGGAAATATCATTCTGGCTCAGAATAATATTGAAGTCTAGGATTTCCTGACATGTGTAAGGCGATATATTGGGATTTTATGAGTGTTGTGGGCTGACTTTTGGCTCCCGTTAAAATGAGATATCACTCAAACCCCATTTCTACGCCCAACTTTAAGTGATTTTTAAATATGCTTGGTGTCCTGATTTCGTTCTCCCCCTTCATATTCAGAACAGGTTGTTTTTGTTTTATTTGTTTCACCAAATTCAATCATTCCCAGAGATCCATTTTGGGGGATATCACATGAGGAAATTAAGAAAAAAGTAAACTTTGGAGAAAAAAAACATCTGCTTGATTCTTGAAATATGACATACAAGATATGGTAGGTATTACTGTGTGAGAACAAATTCTGTTTAAGCTTTAGAAACAAAAGAATAATCTTATTAAAGAAGTAGTTTGAAAAGATCAAGGCAAACACATAAAAAAAAAAATCAAGTTTAAAATCTGAAAATAGACAGAAAAACTTTTTAAAAAAAAGACGTCATAGATGTTTTCCAATATTAAAAACTGGTAAATAACGGTACCCTCCTACAGAAAGAAACAATATTAGCAGGATGGAAATGGTGGTAGACTTTAGGAGATTTCAGTTGAACTTGCAGGTTAAATTAGCACAGGCTTTACGAGTAAGGAAGGAAAGAAGACACAGAAGGAGAGAGCGACTGAGGAGGGCGGATGGGAGGACGGGGGGGCATTAGCTCACTTCAGGCTGATGTCAGGACAATTAGAGGTGCACCACCGTGCATTGTGCACAGCGCCTGTCAGCCTTAATCTCTGCTGCTGCAGCCCGCACCCGCAGCCGGGCCACAGCCCACGGGAAGCGCTAACACTCAGCTCCATATTGCTTTGACAGTTGCACTCATCTAGAAGTAATGCAAAACGTTATTGTGGTGTATACATGGTGACCCCCGTACTCTTGTCTCAAACAACAAGGTAAGTGCATGAGCTGGATGGTACTGGAAGGGAGACTGGGGAGGTTGAAGAGGGAGGATGGAGAGAAAAACAAAAATTAGAGCAAAGGGCAACATTTCTGCACTCTCGTTTCTGATGCACCTTTTAGAATCTACTGCTGAGTCAATGCTGGGTTTCTACAAATCTTGGTGTTTGTTTTTAAGGGAGCCGCTGCGTGTTGTGACAGCATGGGCGTTCTCTTCTGCCTCCTCCTCCTCCTTCGCACTCAAGGCTTCATTGAAGAACTTGAAGATGGATTCAAAACTCATCCAGGAGGTCAGTTCATGCCTCTCAGTACCTGCAGTATAGAAAAAGACATAATACAAAATGTTAGTATTATCCTTCAAATAAAATTAAAAATACATTTATACATCTTTCTATACCATAACTTTGGAAGATTAAGGAAAATGAGCAAACAAAGGTCATGCTTTCTAAAAAGTATCATACCCATTTAGATGTGTAAATTTTGCTGCATTACAACCGCAAACACCAGTGCATCTTATTGATATTATTTGTGACAAAGCAGCACAAAGAAGCTTACGGGGTTTTTAGGAAGACAGAAAATTTTACATGGTTTTTTTTACATGGCTTTCTTACCCATGAAAATCTAGAAACTGCAACTTGCCTTTGCATTCAGCCTTTCAGGATCAATCACGTGCAGAACTACCTAAATATCCATGCATCACCAGTCTTTTGGAGTTTGTCTAGCAGGTACAGACATTGTTGACCCATTACTGGTGCAAAATAGTCTGAGTGGACCGGGATAATTTTAAAGCCTTGAGAAAAAACATGCCTAACGACCTAACACATACATATGATTTGACCAAACCATTTTCACTGTAGCTTTGGCTTTATTTTTAGAGTTGATATGTTAGTAAAGCTGACAAAAACACAGGGGACCAGAATTTGGTAAACCAAAAGCAACCTTGCATAAGTTTGCTATGTCCCTGACTTAGTTTGGGGCGCACTACAAACATGACTTCTTGTGCCGAAACTAAAAATATCAAGCTTTTGCAAATCTCTGTCAACAAGCCTTATTAAATGAGATGGTAAGTCTTTTCAAGTCCCACAATCCACATGCAAAACTAAGGCCATATTCGTGAGAGCAACGGCAGCCTCTGACCCATTAGTCCAGTGGGACGGCTTAGAAGTGTTATCCAAGTGGATACCCGATAATCAACACTGCTGCACGTCGGAGGAGATGGAAAGTGGTCCTTCCATCAAAACCGAAGATATGCACAATGGGCTCACTAAGAGAAACCAGTGGAGCGAAAGTCATTCATTCTGAGGGACTGATTGAGGAAAGTCAAGACAAGCTGTAGAGGGATAACTAGCCTGCATATCAGGTGGTCTGGCAGTACCTGGAAGGGAAGGTTAACAGTGCTGGGTTTCCTCCTGACCTCCCCCAGGTTAGTAAGTTCCCAAGTTTGGGGTCAAACTGGAACTTGAAATTTGGTACACATGCCTCAGGTTTCTTTGGGTAAGGGTACTTTAGGCCAGATATTTACTTCAATACCTTGTAAACTTAGTGACAGACATCCTGCTAAAGATTCCAATGCAGCATAGATGATAAGACCAGAGCATGCTTTCAGTTCCTGCGCAAGGTCATTAAAGGTGCAGTGCTAATAGACAATTGATTGTTGGCGCAGCCACTGGTTAGCAGCTCAGCTGATAAGCAACATAACTGTTACTTGACCTGCTGAGATGCCTCCAAGATCCCAAGAGAGATAGAGCAGGTTTGCATCATTAGGAAGCTAAACATTCTAACAATTAAAGGGCAGAAAATATATCTTTTGGCAGGTACAGACTGTGAATTTTTGCTTTTTTCATAAAAACTCAGCTTGTGTAAGGATAAAAATACAAAACATACCTCAAAAAGAACTTAAAGAAAACAAACTGCCAATAGAGAAGGGTGGATAAACAGAACCATTTTGTTAGAGTGGAAAAATTAGTAGATATAGCTACACCCCATTACTTCAGCTTCTCTCTCCCTACTTTGATCCTTCCATCATTCTCCTGTGTACATTGCATCAGCTATAAAAATCTAGACAACAAGGCTGCAGGGATACAATTAGGAGGTACCTTAAAGGCTCTCTCACTATAGACAGGCCTCTGATTACCGTGGTACTGACCCCGTGTTTATTAGATTGAACCCGGCTTGGACACATCAATGGAGACTGCATACATGCATGTGTGCGAGTGTTTGCGTGTGCGACTGTAAGACCTGGGGCGACTGTGAGGTTTTAGGCAGATAATGGATTTATATTTAGTTCCTGCAGGTGTGTTTTGTGTTTGTGTAGTTTGTGTGTAGGAGCATGTACATGGGGAGGGGGGGTTCTGATCTCTCTGAGATAAGGGACTGCCCTGCAAGTTATATAGCAAGCAGATGGTAGTCAGTGCCTAGGGTCAAATTTACTGGCCCAGCAATCATGGTAGTCAATAACCCAGCTCTCTTGGTGACTCTGCTACCTGTGTAGAGCTCATCACAACAACTATGCCTGGGAACAAGAGACACAGCCCTCTCACACCTCTAATCTATCATTTATATCCAATTTGAAGCAATGTGATCTTTTTTTCACCTCTTATTTTTCTCCTCTCTTGTTTTCTTCTCTCTCACAGTTGTTTTTACTTCTGTTTTGTCCTTTTTTTCTGTCTTATGCAGATCAGCGCAGTAGCACTTGCTCATTCTCCCTGAACTGACGGTGAACTCCCCCGGCACGCAGCCAGCCTCTCCGCCCTATCCCACCACGTTCGAGGGTCACCATGGGGGTGTCTCTTTGCTAATATGCAGATGAGCTGCTGCCCCTCCAATGACTCGGATGTTAAACTCCACCTCCCTCTAAAGGGTGGAGGATCGAGATCAAGTCTTCTCTCTTCAATAAAACTTTTATACAAACAAAAGTTTTCTCCCATGGACTTTCCCAAATCGCATCCACTGATTTTCATAGCTTAAGGACAACATACACGATGTGCATACTGAAACAGAATTAAAACAATTAAAAAGTACCTCGACAATAAAGTTCAATGAGGTATCAACGGACCATAACTGGTATAAAGTGAGTAGCCAAAAAAAGAAGGATAATAATATAACTCAATCTATGTTTCTAGGAGTAATCAAAAATGTCATGGGTTGAGTATTTATCACGTATTATAATATAACAGCCAAATATTTTGTTATTTAACAGACTTTATATCTCATACCTCACAGAACTTCAAGACAGAGGGTGTATGTTTTTTACTTTATTGCAATGTTTATAGTTTATACATGCAAACATATATATCACTAGAAATATAGGCAACCAAGAACACAGAAAAAAAGTACTGGTGAAAGTAGAGTTTTAGTTGTGATTGTTAAAAGATTAATTTATTTATGGTAACTGAATGTAGGAAAATCAATACAATGGCTGAGATGTTTATCTAATTATAAATTATAATTGTGTATATATATATATATATATGTATAATTTTTTTTTGTTTGTTTTGTTTTTTTTATGTTTAACACCAAATACAATTTAAACTTTACTCCTATAGTCATTTAAAAAAGTAATGATATATATGAAGTAAGAAGGTTTTGGAGAATAGTTTTTGCCCCTTTTTGTGACCTTGTCTTTTTGCCGTTTGTTGTATATGTTCATAATATGTTGTAAGAAAACGGAAATAAAAATATTACTCAAAAAAAGTCATAAAAGAAACTTAAAAAACGACATGAGAACCTATCTGTTTTATAACAAGTCCAGATTACAGTATATATGGTAAAATGGTAAATGGCATGTACTTATATAGCGCCTTTATTCAAGTTAGGAGACTTGACCAAAGCGCTTTACAGTCGGGGCTTGAACCGTCAACCCTTCGATTACAGGGCAAACTCCTCCATCCAACGCCACTGTCGCCCTATATAATTAAATAGTTCCAACTGATGACAATAACTTGTAAGACTTTAAAAAATGCTTTACAAAATGTGTATTTTCAGGAGTACATTATGACACCACATTTGTATCCATCCATCCATCCATCCATCCATCCATCCATCCATCCATCCATCCATCCATCCATCCATCCATCCATCCATCCATCCATCCATGAAACAGAAGACAGACGTGTACGAAGGGGTAAGTAACAAAAATGAGCTAAATCAAAAAGGAAACTGGACATAAAAAGTTAAAATATCAATAATCAGAATGTATTTGTAAGTCTTGCTGGTTTCCATAAAAAACAAATCTTACAATATTAACAGATGATCCGAAACTGTGACATCACATTCACAACACTGTGGATAATTTTGCTTGAGAGGCAGGAATTATGTGGTGCAGAAACACGCTCTGTGGTCAGATCTCCCTCATGTTCTCTGTACCGAGGTCACGACACAGTTTGGATGGCCAGGCTGCCCAGCGGCCTGCGGCAGACCATCCTAAGTGTGTATTTTCCCAAACTCAGTGAAGCTGCCTTATTATGTGGCAGGCAGAGAGGAGCATTTGATCCTCGATGTTTAGCCTCCTCTCTGTCACAGCCACTGGAGCCCTCTCTGGGTAATTGACTGACTGTTTGATCTCCGTCTGACTCGACATTACTACACACATTTACACACATAGACAAAAACGTTTATCTTGCAAGCGTTGCTCATGGCCCACAGTTTCTCATTCCAAACACACAGTTATGATGGGTTGTGTGTAGTGGAGGAATCTAAGAGAGGAGTTTTGAGCTGGTAACAGGAAAACTTGTGCATAGCTAAAGGCCATGCTTTCTTCCTTCTGCACCAAATGCTGCATGCTGTTACAAATGGTAATCGGCTGTGATTGTCACAAATTTCAAAACAAACGCTAGGTGACTGAAAAGCCAAAGTGACGCCTCGAGTGATACTCCGACAGGAGCCGCAAATCAAAGCATGCCGACTATAATTAGGTTCCATCTGGGCTACATTATTTAAAGCCGCACCAGTTAATTGCTTGTGTACAAATGGCCTATTTTATTTGAATCAAATTCTTTTTTATTCATAATTACACTGATGTGAAGGGGGCATATCTCTTTGCCTCAGTTATAATATAAATACATATTCAAATTAAGAATGCTTTCAGGCGAGGGGGAACGTAAAATGATGATACTTTTCTTTGTGTGGGTTGATTTTCTTTAAACAATTATGAGCACTTAAAAGAAACACTGACATTTGGGTTAAATATTTAATGAACTTCAATTGAAAAATAGGAGATTAACTCTGAAATATTAAGGAAGCAAAAATCAGAACAGAATTCCTGATGGAGATTTTTTTGTTTAACAGTCATTAACACATTAATGCAGGAAAAG